TGGGGTTTTACCATGTTGGCCAGACTGGTCTCAAACTGCTGGCCTCAGGTAATCCACCCGCCTTGGCCTCCCAATATGCTGAGGTTACAGGCGTGAGCCACCGCACCCAGCCGACAAACCAATTTTTATTACTTGCTTTGAATATTGACCATGATGTATTGGCTTTAGCCTAGAAATATATAATCATACGGCATCTCTCTATATACAATTTGGGCGTAATAAATACATATACACACTGAAATATGTATATGATCTAATATATACCAAGGTGTATACATATATTTAATTTACCCACATATACTAGACATAGATGTACATTTACATATATTTGCATGTAAACACACATATATGCACGCTTTCACTGCATACACACCTGTCAGTCCCTGTGGTGCACCCTGATGAAACCTAATTTTTTCCTGCTAATACCATTTCTTAACTACCTCAACCTACTAACAATGAAATAATTAGAAATTTTTGTCTAGCTGCAAGGTTTTCATTTAAAGATAATCTGCATAAAAATATACATTCATGTGTATGGATAGTATATAAATGTATTTATATGATGCTTCATTCTAGGAAAGGGGAATGAGAAATGCTAACTAGATTAACAGTATGAAAAGCAACCAGAATAAATAATTGGATTTATTCCATTGGTTCTATCAAAAAAATTTAGTAAGATGGAAGTTCTAATATGTCTGTAGCATAACACCACATTTAAGCCAAGTCCTTTGCCATACTTGGCTGTTATTTAACTGACTTCATAAAATGCTCAAGAAAAAGATTTCTTAAGAAATGCTCAGTTACAGCTGCATCAAACATCTTCTCCAAAATGACTTTCAAGAGCACCAAATAATTTTAGTGTAACATAACCATTTGAATGTCTGTTGTTCTCAGAAAAGAACTAAAGTTGGAGAAAGTAATTAAAGCCAGATCCTAAAAGTCAACACATCTGAGGCTCCAGACACTGACTCTGCATGTGCTGTGGTTTCCACTAAACACTAAAATGAGGTAATTTTTTATTCTTATTATGTTCACAACTCTTGCAAAACCTAACCAGGGTGAAAACTGTATTAATTTTTCTCATTAAGTGAATTATGTAGTGTATAAGTTTTTCAAGGTCTTGTGCTAAAAACAGAATCTCTCCTATAGTTACCTTTTCTAAGTAACAAGAGAGCATTCTTGATAAAGTGAGGATAATCTAAACATCTCAATTTACTCACCTTATTTTACTCTCTTTTGCTCTCTTTTTAAATCCAGATTAGGAATTGTGAAATTAGCTTATATGTCACTTTCTCCTCCCCCTGCTTTGTCTGTTCCCTTTTGGGACTTAATAATTGGGCTGAAGAAACATTATCACATGCCCAGAAGTATGAACCTTGGAAGAGGTAAAACTGGAGCCACAACACAGACACACACAGACATATGCATATCAAAAGCAGGGAGGAGAAAAAGAGGGATGAGGACTGATGAAAAAGAAAAATTTCAGGGTGGGGGTAAGGGGAGGAAACTCAGAGGATGGGTCAATAGGTACAGCAATCCACCATGGCACATGTATACCTATGTAACAAAGCTGCATGTTCTGCACACGTATCCTTGTTTGTTTGTCTTTTTAGAAAAAATAAAGGGAAAGAAAGAAAATTTATTTTTCATGGACTAGAGTAGAACAACTAATCTTTTAGACTACTGAAAAGAAATACATGTCAGTTTTTAAAAGATTAAATTGTTTTAAAGATATGCAAAAACCCAACTGTATGGTCATATAGTTAGCAAATGGGTAAGTGCTTTCATCTACAGTCTCAGAGCACCTAAAAATAGTACAATTTTTAGGCTCCAAAGAGTGAAAAGAAAAATGTCTGGACCCCGCAGCATCAAAAATAAATGATAGAAAACATTGGTCTCCTGATACTTAACATCAAATTTTGGTCAATACTCTTTCACCCTAAGGATGAGAGGGGCACCCAAAATTAATCAAGGATGCGTATTAAGAAGCCATGTCATCACCATGGTGGGTTTCAATACTTCTAAATTGGTCAAATATAATTGATCACCATATGAGAACTATAACCCAGTATTAGAAATGTCAATATTTTAAACTGTTGTTTCTAGTCTATCACCTTGTCAAAGATCTTTTGAAAGCCTGACTATATTGTATTTATAGATGAAGCTTTGTGTAAATGTATGTTTAACCCTTAAGTTAATTGCAGCAAGTCAATCATGGTTTAACTTTAGAGCAATCTTTTGGCTTTTTCTCTTAGTAGGTTACATACATCTAAATGGTTGCAACCCTTTTTGTTATTAAAGAGTTATATTTCCAATACGGAAGTTTCTAGTCCTCTCTGGGATATTTGTTTTATGTTTGTTTATTTAACTCTATACTATTGAATATACTACCAGACAGATTTCTTAGGGACTTCTTAGAACATTAGTACCCCTGGTCTAATATTGGGGGAAATTGACATTATGTGACACTAATGCTCCTTAAAGTAGATTCCCTCAAGTATAATTACATTGTTCAGACACAATGAGAAACAGCAAAAATAATTTGAAAAAATTTTTTCTCACTAAGCTGTCAATCAACCATATAGAAGAGCAGTTCTCTGTTTCTACCTTTCACTTCCATAAAACTGTTACTGAATTAGTTTGCTGAGAAGGTATAAGACTTCGGGCCAGTCATTTAAGCCCTCTTGGCCTTTGAGGTAATTTTTTATTCTTACTACCTTAACATTTGGGAGTTGGTTTAGATGTTTCTAAGATTCTTTCAGCTCCAGAAGTCTAGAATTCAATGCTAGAGGTCTAGAGCATCTTTTGACCTGGAATCCTCTACAGTCCATTAGTTGGGATGGTATTTTAACAGTCTCCTATTAGTCACGTTAAAACGTCTTGGAAAGTCTACTTCAAATTGACAGAGATAACTTCAGGTTTGCCATGCTTTGTGGACTTCTCAGCTATTATTGCATTATCTTCCTACTTGTGGGACAAACCCTTTTATCTCAAAAACAAAATTTTTCTTTCTTTCTTCCCTCCCTCTCAGCTTCCCTCCTCCCTCCTTCCTCCCTCCTCTCCCTTCCCTTTCCTTCCCTTCCCTTCCTCCTTTCTTCTCTTTCTCCTCTTCCCCTCTCCTCCTCCTCCTGCTCCTTCTTCTCTTCTTCTTCTTTTCTCTCTCTCTCTCTCTCTCTCTTTCTCTCTCTCTGTTCCTACTTTAGCTTCAGGTTTTTCTGAGTGGTTGGGGTTTTAAACTCTAAAGGCACATTTATCTGGAACTTCCAGTGTGTTTCAGTGCTTGCATTCCTAGGTTATTTCTTCCCTTCTTGTTCAATACATGTATGACACATGACTTTGGGGTTTTTTTTCTAACAGCATATTGATATGCTTAAAGTGATGAAAAAAATTACACTGTGCCTTGCTCACAATATGTACTTTACGACTTCCTGCACATCACTCAAGATTAGGTTTAGGAATTTCATTTTCTCATGAGCTCTTGAAGAATCAATTGAGCATGTAATCATTTATCCTAGCCAATTACTTATCTTATGCTTTCCATTCCTATAAAGGATGCTAGCAAGTATGTCTGAGTAGCTTAAGTTCCCAATTGCTGAGTATCTGGCATAATTTTTCAAACTCTCCCAACTTTCATGATTAGATTATATGACATTTCTATCTACAGGATACTTTGTTTATATGAGAAGAATTTTACCACACTGCAGTTCATCACTCTCCATGTAAAATGTCCTTGTTTATTTTGAATCGGACATGAGGAAGGGAGAGAGTAGACAGGCAAAAATGGGAAAATAAATCTCAATCACTTTGGCTGTGGAGAACTAACTAAGACCCCGGAGAAGAACTTGGTTCAACTAAGATCATACACGTTTTGTTACATTTCCAATCCATTTCTTTTTTTTCTACTGTGACCCACAAAATTTATTGAATTTATACTTAATTAAACTAAAAAGTTTCTGCACAGCAAAAGAAACAATCAGCAGAGTAAATAGACAATGCACAGAGTGGGAGAAAATATTCACAATCTATACATCTGACAAAGGACTAATATCCAGAATATATAAGAAACTCAAATTAGCAAGAAAAAAACCCAAAGAATCCCACCAAAAATTGGGCTAAGGACATGAATAGACAATTCTCAAAAGATGATATACAAATGTCTAACAAACATATGAAAAAAATGCTCAGCATCACTAATGATCAGGGAAATGCAAGTCAAAACCACAATGCGATACCACCTTACTTCTGCAAAACTGGTCATAATCAAAAAATCAAAAAATAATAGATGTTGGCAGGGATACAGTGAAAAGGGAACACTTCTTGGTGGGAATGTAAACTAGTACAGCCACTATGGAAAACAGTGTGGAGATTCCTTAAAGAGCTAAAAGTAGAACTGTCATTTGATCCAGCAATCCCACTACTGAGTATCTACCCAGGGGAAAAGAAGTCATTGTACAAAAAAGATGCTTGCACAGGCACGCTTATAGCAGTACAATTCGCAAAGACAGAATTGGGGAACCAACCCAAATGTCCATCAATCAATGAGTGGATAAAGAAATTGTGATATAAATACACCATGGAATACATTTAGCCATAAAAAGGAATGAAATAATGGCATTCACAGTAATCTGAATGAAATTGGAGATCATTATTCTAAGTGAAGGAACTCAGGAATGGAAAAACCAAACATTGTATATTCTCACTCATAACTGGGACTAAGCTATGAGAATACAAAGGCATATGAATTATACAATGGATTTTGGGAACTTGGAGGAAAAGGCAGGAAGTGGGTGAGGAATAAAAGACTACAAATTAGGTACAGTGTATACTCCTCAGATGACGGGTGCACCAAAATCTCACAAATCACTGCTAAAGAACGTACTCATGTAGCCAAAGAGCACCTGTTCCCCAAAAAACGATAGAAATAAGAAATAAAGTGAATTAATAATTTTTTTTAAAAAATTCAATCTTAATTCTTTAACAGAAGATCTTAATTATCTTACCTGAATTCCATCATCAGTGATTCTATAACATGCAGATACAGAAAGTTCCTTCAAGTTTTTATGTCTGGAAAGTACATTCAAAGCCTAAAAATATTTAATATAAAGATCATTTTGTAATTATCATTTAGTATGGAATATATAGTTCCAATAACCATGTATACAAACTAACATAAAAAAATTTATGAAATCTAAAAAATTTTAGCTGTTGTCATATTTATTTAAACTTAAAAAAGCATAAGATCACTTAGGTTAGACAATATCATTAAGTAAAATTTTCAAGTTGTCTCTAGTGTTTAACAAAAGGTTTCATGGAATCCCGGAGCCAGAAAACTCCTTAGTAGGTTATTATCTTGCCACTTGTTTCCAGATAAATGTTATCTGAATCAATATAAACAAATCCAACTTACTAATTTATTTTGAAGACACTTCATGTGGATAAAGAATCTATTTCTTAATATATTTTTACTTATGCCTAACTAAAACATCTAAAAATCTTTAGCTCATTTTATAATGATTAATCGCTTGAAGAGGAAGAGAACAGATCTTTATGTAAAGGCTTAGAGACAGATAATCGTTCAGTAACAGACCACTTCTTTTCCAGGTTAAAAGCCTTAGATTTTTTCATTTAAAAAAATAGATTGCACTTTCAGCCCTTAGTTTTTTTATGTGTGATTGTGTCGTCCCATTTCTCAGTACTTTTTCCCCAAATTTACTGGCATGACACTCAGATAAGGAACTGACAAATGTGGCTTATTGATGCCATCCTCCAGTTTTTCATTCAGGATCATATTACTTTTACATAATCCCATACACTGTGCTTCCTAAACTAGGTGGACAAGAGCAGAGTTGGGTTTTTTTCCCCATTCTATGATTCCAGGGCTGGCTGGCAGGGAAAATACCAGAAATGACACATAGATTTGTCCTTTTTATATTTTATTTGTAGGATTGGTTTATATTTTATTGATCTTAAATACAACATTTGGACCACAACTGAAAATGGGCTATGCAAACATTATATCCTGTTTTTTTCTTCCTAATACACAGAATGGGCATTTTCATTAAAAAAAGAAAGTCTGGATTAAGTAAAATGTGTTTTATTTAAGCCTCTGCTTAAACTATGATTTCTAATTTTGTTTAATGGGATTGGATACCATTTCAAAGTAAAATCACTCTGTGAATTCTTTTAACTTTTTAAAAACTTTCATTTACATTTATTTTATGATGACTTTATTCCTGTGTCATAAGTTTTCATTTGTTTCTCCAGTTTCTTCAGGGATATCTTTTTCTTCTATGCAGCCTCATTCTTTCAATTTTATTGTGACTGTGGATTCTTTTGCTAGGAACACATTATGTTTTCTGCCTCCTTTTTTCAAAACAAAGTCTGACCAAACCCTGTGGAGCCATCACATGTGGTCTGGGTTCCAGATGTGGATGCTATTTTATTCATGTTAAAAGAATGGAAGAGATTAGATATTCTCCAATAGAATCCAAATTGTTTGAACACAAATATCAAGTAGGAGATGCAAAGATTGTCTCTTTGCCATATACTTGATAATAGCTAAGTATGTTTTAATATCCCATAGAAAATTTGTCCTATGAAACTATCTCTGAAGTTTTCACTTAGATTTCACTTTTATGCAGTCAAGTTAGAATTTTAAGATGAACTGTGGACGGGCATGGTGGCTCATGCCTGTAATCCCAGCATTTTGGGAGGCCGAGGTGGGCAGATCACCTGAGGTCAGAAGTTCAAGACCAGGCTGGCCAACATGGTGAAACACCCCCACCCCCGTCTCTACTAAAAATACAAAAATTAGCCAGGCGTGGTGGCAGGCACCTGTAATCCCAGCTACTCGGGAGGCTGAGGCAGGAGAATCACTTGAACCCAGGAGGTGGAGGTTGCAGTGAGCTGAGATCGCATCATTGCACTCCAGCCTAAGTGACAAGAGTGAGACTTCATCTCCAAAAAAAAAAAAAAAAAAGATGACCTGTAAATGAAGTGCATTTGCTAAGTATGATATTTAACAGCATATATGCTCTTTACTACTTTATTCAAAATCATTAAAAATTAAAATATTAAAATGGAATGCCATGTCTCATCACTGTAATTGTTCATTAAAACATATGACCTAAAAACTAATTGACCAACATTATTAGCCACTAGATAAATGTATAATGACATACCACAACATACCTACTAGGATGGCTATAATTTAAAATACAGATAATAAAATGTGTTGGTGAGGATGTGGACAAATTGGAACCGTCATATACTGCTAATGGAAATGTAAAATGGGTCAGCCACTTTGGAAAACAGTCTGGCATTTCCTCAAAAATTAAACAGAGTTATAATATTACCCAGCAATTCTACTCCTAGGTTTATACCCAAAAGCAATGAAAATGTATGTTTATACAAAGACAAGTACTTGAATGTTTATAGCAGTACTATTCATAATAAAATCCATGCATTTACAGTCAACAAAACCACCAAGCATATACACTGGGAAAAAGGACACTCTTTTCAATAAATGGTGCTGGGAGAACTTGACATCCATATGCAGAACAATGGAACTAGACTCCTATATCTCCATATACAAAAATCAACTCAAAACAGATTAAAGACTCAAACATAAGACCTGAAACTATAAAACTGTTAGAAGGAAAAACAAGGGGAATGGTTCAGGGCATTGATCTTGGCAAATATTTTCTGGCTAAGACTTCAAAACCAAAGGCAACAAAACAAAAACAGACAAATGGATGATATCAAACTAAAAAGATTATACACAACAAAGGAAACAACAAAGTGAAGAGACAACCTGTAGAATGGGAGAAGACATGTGTAAACTGGTCTTACAACAAAGGGCTAATAACCAGAATATACAAGGAACTCAAACAACTCAACAGCAAATAAGCAAAATAATCTGATAAAAAGGGGACAAAGGAACTGAGGAGACAGCTCTCAAAAGAAGACATATGTGAGGGTGATGCAGCTGCAACATCTGCCACCCCATTGATCACCAGGGTTGATTTAGCTGATCTGGTTGGCTAGGCAGGTGTCCCTTTGCTCCTTCTCTGTTCCATGTGTGTCCCTCCCAAAGCTGCGTGCTCAGTCAAAGAGGATGACCAACCCTGATAGAGGGGGACAAGTTATTGGTCTGGGTTATACAAGTAGCCGCACTCCCCTGCTCGAATCTCCAAACAACCTCTCAAGAAGACATACAAATAGTCAACAAACATATGAAAAATCATCATTATGGAAATGCAAATCAAAACCACAATGAGATATCATCTCATCCCAGTTAGAATGGCTATTATCTAAAAGACAAAAAATAACAATGCTAGTGAGGATGCAGATAAAAGAGAACTCCTAAACACTGTTGGTGAGAATATATATCAATACAGTCATTACAGAAAACAGTACAGAGATTTCTATAAAAACAGAACTACCATTTGATCCAGGAATCTCACTACTGGGTTTACCCAAAGGAAAGGAACTCAGTTTATCAAAGGGATACCTGCATTTCCATGTTTACGGCAGCACTACTCACAATAGCTAAGATATGGAATTAACTCAAATGTTCATCAACAGACAAATGGATAAAGAAAATGTGGCATTATACACACTGGAATACTATTCAGCCACAAAAAAGAATGAAAGCCTGTCATTTGCAGCAACATGGATGAGCCTGGAAGACACGATGTTAAGCAAAATAAGACAAGCACAGAAAGATAAATACCACATGTCCTCACTTGTGGAAGCTAAGAAAAAGTAGAGTGCAATTGTGGCTATCAGAGAACGGGAAAGATAGCAAGGAGGGAGAATGGGGAGAGCTTGGTTAACGATTACAAAATTACACTTTGATGGGATGAACGAGTTCAGGTATTCTGCAGCACTGTGGAGTGAAAGTGGTTAACCATAATTTATTGTATATTTTCAAAAAGCTAGAACAGAGGATTTTTAATGCTCACAATGCAAAGAAATGATAAATGTTTGAGGTGATGGATGCTAATTACCATGATTTGATCATTACACATATGGAAATAACAGTCTGCATTCCATAAATATGTAAAATTATTATGTGTAAACTAAAAAGAAAAGAAAAAAGTGGAAACAATCCAAATGCCTATCAATTGATGAAAGGATAAATAAAATGTATTAGGGAATCCTTCACCACTCATGAGACCAACATCATCCTGATACCAAAACCCGGCAGACACACAACTAAAAAAGAAAACTTTAAGCCAATATCCATGATGAACATAGATGCAAAAATCTTCAATAAAATACTGGCAAACCGATTGCAACAGCACATCAAAAAGCTTATCCATCACGATCAAGTAGGCTTCACCCAGGGATGCAAGGCTGGTTCAACATATGCAAGTCTATAAACATAATTCATCACATAAACAGAACCAAGACAAAAACCACATGATTATCTCAATAGATGCAGAGAAGGCCTTCAACAAAATTCAACAGCCCTTTATGCTAAAATCTCTCAATAAATTAGGTATTGATGGAACGTATCTCAAAATAATAAAAGTTATTTACAACAAACCCACAGCCAATATCATACTGAATGGGCAAAAACTGGAAGCATTCCCTTTGAAATACGGCACTAGACAAGGATGCCCCCTCTCACCACTCCTATTCAATATAGCATTGGAAGTTCTAGCCAGAGTAATCAGGCAAGAAAAATAAATAAAGAATATTCAATTAGGAAAAGAGAACATCAAATTGTCTCTATTTGCAGGTGACGTGATTGTATATTTAGAAGACCCCATTGTCTCAGCCCAAAATCTCCTGAAACTGATAAGCAACTTCAGCAAAGTCTCAGGAAACAAAATCATGTGCAAAAATCACAAGCATTCCTATATACCAATAGCAGATTTAAAGAGAGTCAAATCAAGAACGAACTGCCATTCACAATTGCTACAAAGAGAATAAAATACTTAGGAATGCAACTAACAAAGGATGTAAAAGACCTCTTCAAGGAGAACTACAAACCACTGCTCAACGAAATAAGAGAGGACACAAACAGATGGAGAAACATTCCATTTCATGGTTAGGAAGAATCAACTGTGAAAAT